GAAAGTTGTTTAATTAAACAAAATATTAACAGAAAGTTGTTTAATTAAACAAAATATTAACAGAAAGTTGTTTAATTAAACAAAATATTAACAGAAAGTTGTTTAATTAAACAAAATATTAACAGAAAGTTGTTTAATTAAACAAAATATTAACAAAAAGTTGTTTAATTAAACAAAATATTAACAGAAAGTTATTTAATTAAACAAAATATTAACAGAAAGTTGTTTAATTAAACAAAATATTAACAGAAAGTTGTTTAATAACAGAAAAACATCCAGTACATTACATACAGTACAGTACATTATTATAGAAGAAATTGCACATTAAATTAATCCTTAACATTTTAAACATTACCAATTTAAATACAATTAAATAACCTTGTTAAAGAGACAAAAATCTATTTCTCATTTTTAATTTAATCTGAAATACAAGTTAGTAGTATTACAGTAAGAATGGATTCATGTGATTTTGGAAAACTGTTAAATGATACTTGTCATAAACTAATTTATTGTAGAAAGACTCAAAGAGATTTGATTGTTATAGAGAAGATGCCAGATAAGCATTAATTTGAAGATCTGAAATTGCAGATAAAATTTTAACAATCTGCCTTCTGCGCCATGAAAGGATTTTTGGTGCAAACTTTGAAAAGAAACACACAAAATGTTGTAATTTAGTGAATAAATATAAATCAAAAAGCAAAACAATCAAAGGTAAATAATTGTTTTGAAAGATAAAATTAAAATCTACTAGTTTATAAAAGTTTATGAATAAGATGGTTTGGTTATGCTATTAAAATAAGAACAAATTGTTTGTTTTTAATTTATTTTTATTGTTCATAGGTAATCATAAAAATAAAGAGTACTTTTCATTTCAGGTAGTCATGTAACAACATTAGACATGACAAAATAATTGAGACTCAATTTTCCAAATGTTCTGCCTAGATATCATGTCGGATCTGCTTTGATACTATAATTGGTAATTTTAATAAAAAAGATACTTATGAATTTAAGGAATTTTTTCAAGTGCAATTTCTGAAAAGAATCAGTCACAAGAGTCACGAGAGGCACTAAATGTTGGTCTTGAAATAATAGGTGTATCCCCCATAAATCTTTATGGGGTTCCAAAGCATCAACGGTTGTTTTATTATCTGTTGCTAAAATTAAAGTTAAAAAAACAATGTCAAAGTATGAAGAGCATATTTCAAAAGTATACAATGTTAGTGAAGCAAAATTGAAAAATAAAATTTCTCATATCAAAAAAATTGATAAAATTGAAATGTGACGATTTAGACAAACTAACAACAGAAACAAAAGAAAAATTTTTGTTTCTAAAAACCAAAAACCTAAATTCAGGTGTTAACATTTACACCTAAGTCTTATTTAAGAAATTATGCTGCAAGATATTTCAACATCCCTGAATACCAAACTAAATAAGCACCCTAACCTGCCTGGTAAAAAAGATTACATAAGTATTGGCAGAAAACAACACATGCAAAAGTCTGATTTTATGTAATTTTAAACAACTGTATGTTTCTTTTAAATTTAATTTTCCTCAAGAAGTTATTGGGTTTTCTAAGTTTTGCATTTTAAGACCAAAATGGTGTATAATTGTTGGAGCATCAGGGACTCACTTTGTGTATGTACACACCATGCAATACTCTTGAACAACACTATACAATTAAATTGTACTTACAAAGATCTGATGGCTAGAGTTGTTTGTGATGTTACAAGTAATGAGCGCATGGTTCATCGGTATCCAAACAGTCCAGATATAGTTTCTTTAAACAAGTTTCTGGATGCACAACTAATTGACAATGACAATGATGATGAAGTGTTATATAATCAGTGGCAGAAAATAAACAGAACAAACTTGATCAGTCAGACAACAACAATTGAAGAATTCAAATCGATGTTATCAGAGGTAATAAACAAGTTAACAGCTCATTCCTAGATTGCAAAATATCAAGCAAGATACTTAAGGCAACAAAAAGAAAAGTTGGCAAACGACTGCTGTATTGTGTTAGGTGATTTTGCAAAAAAACTACACATTTTTGATTCAAAATGAAATTCAAAGTTACCATTGGTGCCAAAGTCAATGCATGTAAAACCCTGTTGCCCTCTATTTACAAAACGAAAATGACCAGCTTTAAAGAAAAATTGTTTTCTTCATGTCAGAAGACAATGAGTATGACATTGGATTTGCGTATGAGTTCAAACACAAATATAAAATTATTTAAAATAAAAGCATCCTAATATTTCAAAGATTCTTAATTTTTCAAATTTTTGTGCTGCACAGTATAAAAACCACAAAATCCTTGACAATATCTTTCCAAAACAATATCTGTCTCCATAAAGATGATTTTGACATGCAGATTGGACTTTTTTTGCTACAAGTCATGGTAAGTCATCATTTGATGGTATTGGTGGCACTGTAAAACCATTAACTGCAAATGCAAGTCTACAATGACCCATAAATGACATGATATCAAATTGTAATAAAATGTTTGACTACTATACAAGTAATATTAAAAGGATCATACTTTTTAAGATTGGAAAAGAAAGAAAATAAAGAATTGTCAACTCTAGATAACCAGAAAATAACCTTTGAAAAATTGTTTTTATCTAAGTAGTACAATTCCAGGAACTAGGTGCTACCATCAATTTAAACCAGAATCTAGAGCTTTAAATGAACAAGTGAAGATTTTCATTATAACAGGCATGTTTTTTCTTCTTCTGGTATATAAAGTATTCAACCTAATCAGCAAATTAACATCAATAGAGTGAAATTTGGTAAATTTATTCTGCGTAAATATGATATAGACACCCACACGGTTCTTTTAACAAACTTTTTTAGTTATCTAGAGCAGTTGTTGTGTTTACTATAACAACATTAAGTTTTGGGTTCCAATTACCAACATAATATTTTCTGAAATAACATTAAGTGTTGGGTTCCAATTACCAACATAATTTGTATTATTGTTGCACCTGTAATAACAACTGGAAGTAAGTGTACTTTTTATTTACAAATAAAATTTTTTTTTTTGAGAAAATAAGTGGGGCATGGCCCCAGTGCCTTAGGCCCTCTGGTCATCTGCTGCAGAAACAATTTTAACCCGCATTTATCAGGACTACACAAATGCTGAAAGTTTAAGAGATCCAGTTTGTCTGGAAGATAGTAAAAAATATATCATTAGGGTCTAATACAAAAAGGTGGGGCACTTGCCCCAGTCCCCCCTAATGTCTTAGGGTCCTGAAAACAATTTTAACATGCACATTTATAGGCACTACAGAAATGCCAAAATCTCCAGCTTGTCTTAAAGAGAGTGAAAAATTATTTGCAATATTCTGCTAAAAAAAAGTGGGGATTATACCCCATTAATCATATATGGAAATTTATATACTTGTAGATCAATATCCTTATATTTTTTGAAAGATCAATGAATATAGGATGATGTGTAATATATATTTTTTGATATCATCAAGGCCACACAGGTTTCTTGAGCATTAAAAATAAGTATATAAAAAATTGCTTAAATTTATTTAAATTGATAATTACAAATACTTTATAATAATTTTTTACATTTCTGATTGTTTCATTGGACTTGTCACTCCCAAAAATAGCCAGTTAAAAATTTTTAAGTAAAAAAAATCAAATATTTTGAAAGTTATGTGACTTGAAACCTCTGAATAAAATGTTGCAATTTTGAGGGGACAAGAGGGGCCTGACCAATATCTGCTAAAGGTAAAACGATCATATTTCAGGATCTTCTTGGAGCCAGAGGCTAAAATTTTCAAGGAACACTTATTTTTCTAAGCACTCTCAACTGTATAAAAATAAGCAATATTTGAGATGACAGGACCTAGGTCATTTGACATGGAATTTCCCCCTTTCTTTATAATATAAAAAAAAAAACACAACATGTATTGATTAATTGAAGTTGAAAAAATAATTTTTTTTGACTAAATAGATATAGTTAGCTACATTGACTACAGGTTTAGGTTCTTTTTCTTTTTCTGAAATAACTGAATTAAAAAAAGTATGCAAAAAAAAATTAGTCATTGTAGTGTGTGTGTGTGTGTGTGTGTGTGTACATACATTACTTAGACAATTTCTTATAACAAACAATAATAACAGATAGTTACTTTTTTTTTTTCAATAGAATTTTTGAATCGAAAAAAACAAACAAAAAACAAACAAACAAACAAACTAACTAGAACTGCTGATAAAAATCTATAGTCGCATATTCAGGCGAATATAGATTTTTGTATCAAAGGATTATTTTTAGTCATCCTTCATTAAAATTTGGTCGCCTGGTACTGTCAGGCAACCACAAGTGTACATCTCAGCAGTACCAGGAACATAGATCAAATTCTATACAACTTGCTCAATAAGAAAAGCGTTCTACCACTACACCACAAAGTTTTTGCCAGCAAAATGATATGATTAGAAAATATCATACAGAAATAAAAGTATTTCTTGAGGCATTGCACTTTTTACAAGAATTTTGTTTTAATGTTACCCCTTTGATTTTTCTTTTGATTTTTCACACTTTTTGAAAATTTTTCTAGAAGTATTTCACATTTTTCTCAGTTCAAGTAGATTGCAAATTTATTGCATCACATCGGATTTCCTGCATCACAAATACCAAGCAAATTATTATGTTCTTGTATTAAAATACACAAAATTCAACACAAGTTTAGGTAAGTTGCAATCAAAACTTGCAGTGTTGATTTTTAGAAGTAAAAGAAAAAAACAAACAAAGTGAGTGCTCTCATTAACTTATTTACACCAAATTATTAGGAATTACATATCTTTTTTTCTTCTTCAAAATGATTCATAATTTGAAGTTTTGTTTATAAAAGAGTGTTCTTACAGTAAACTATTTACATAAATACTATATACTACAGTTATTAGATAATTTGAAAATCATTATGAATTTCCTACTTCAAAATTAATCAAATATTTATGAAGTTTATCAACTATGTATAAAGATAAAAACCTGTAGGTTGTTCCTGGGCAACACTATCATCTTGATTCATAGCACCAATATTTTCCACAGCATCAATTGTTTTATCCAAAGATTTCTTCATATTTGTAATAGTAGTATCAATTGAGTCTAATGTGACATGATTATCCAAATCATCAAGACCTGTAATTTGAACTTCATTCAAACCTGTCATATTATCACCATTCATTCCAATACCCTCAAGAAAATCTAAGCCTTCTCCAGGTCCAAATCCTCCATCATCAATCATCATTGACTCATCTAATTCAAGATCTAAAAAAAATATCTGATTAAAAAAATTGTTTACTTTTAAAACAATTTTATATGGAGAACAAAATACCTCTAATGCTTTTGCTTGTCAATAGTTGATAGCTTTTATTAGCTGTCTCATCTAATTTGGATATATTTGCTTGAAAATCTATTGATTGATTGATAGTATCTTCATCTCGCATCACTTCTCGATTAGTCTCTCCAAAAGGTGTATCCCCAAAAAAATTGTCATCAGAAAGAAAACGCCTAAAGCAAAGAGTTATATGCATTTTTTATTCTTATATTATCAAAAATATTGTATGCATATAAATTGATATAATCTATATCATTTCTAAACTTTATTATATCAATCAAAAAACATATTTCTATATTTACCTAAGTTCATACAAAATCTGGAATATACATATATACATATATATATATATATATATATATATATATATATATATATATATATATATATATATATATATATATATATATATATATATATATATATATATATATATATATATATATATATATATATATATATATATATATATATATATATATATATCCCTCAGAATTAAGAAAAATGAGGTCAGCAATAATTTGTTGACCCCAATCTTTTTGAGGTCTGCAAAAATTATTTGATACAAAGGTCTGACCATAAACACAGAAATGAGGTCAGCAATTTTTTGCCGACCTCAAACACTTTCAGATCGGCAGTTCGGTTGGCATTGCTGATCCTAATTCCAAGGATTATATATATATATATATATATATATATATATATATATATATATATATATATATATATATATATATGTATATATATATATATATATATATATATATATATATATGTATATATATGTCTATATATATGTATATATATATATATATATATATATATATATATATATATATTATATATATATATATATATATTATATATATATATATATATATATATATATATATATATATATATATATACAGGCCTTCTCGTAATTAAACGCTTTATATGACCACGCATATAGTTCTTTGTTTTAACAACTTGACCACGGCTCTTTGCAAGTTTTGATAATTAGCATGTTTAAAAAATGCTCTAAAAAAAAAACAAAGCATACGTAAATGCGATTTTTAATTTTATTGATTTTATAACTACAATTAAACTGCCACAAAATTTCCTGAGTACTTTAATGCAACTTAATAAAAGTAATTGTTGAAAAAAATATTCAGAATAGAGTTTAAGGGAAAATAAGTACAGAAGCTATCAAAAAATAATTACAAGCCGTTTTATCATGGAGATATAATTTCAATTAAAGAAATTATTTATTAAAAAAAAGAATTACAATAATCTTGAAACAGTCGCAATTGCCAACTATTTTTTATCCCAGGACGTGACGTATCGTTTTTTTTTAATTGACTTGCGTATCTTTATCTATTGACGAACATCTAATTTAAGAGATTAATGTCAAGCAAATTACAAATAATTTTTATTCTAGTTAAGTTATTAAATATATCAAAGATTTTTGATTAATTTTTGTTATATATATTATTTTAAGGATTTTATTCTCTTTTCAGTTCATGGATTGTTTATTTTAATTTTGTTTTTTTTAGCCCAATTTTTAAACGCGCTAATTATCAAAACTTGCAATGAGCCGTGGTCAAGTTGTTAAAACAAAGAACTACATGCGTGGTCATATAAGGCGTGCGATTGCACGCCTCTTATGAGAAGGCCTGTATATTTATATATATACAGTATTGTAAAAAATTTAAGAACCGCCAAAAAACAAATCATAATTTATTTTTATTTTTAAATTTTTATTTAATCGAATATAATTTTCTGGTAAAAAAAAATATATATATTTTAGAAAATAGACAAACAAAATAAAAAATAATAATAATGACAAAAACTTTTAAACAAATAAAAAAATGCATTTAAAGTTATATAGGTAATTTTTATTTGAAAAAAAAATTGTAAAAAAGTTAAGAACCACAGAACAAAAAACTGTAGTTTTTACCTAATACCATGTAATTTTACCATGAATTTTTAAGCACTAATTTATGCGATTTGGCATTGAGTCTATTAAATTTTCTAAAATATATTTGGGGACATTTCCAAATATTATTGGTAAAATATTGTGCAACTCCTCAAGGCTCCTTGGTGCTTTCTTAGCAATCTCTTTATCAAGCCATCTACAAAGATTTTAAATGCAATTTAAATCTGGGCAATTTGGTGGCCAAGTTAAACGCTCAATATTTTTGCTTTCGAACCATTCAGAGACAATTTTAGCCCTGTAACATGGTACATTGTCTTGCTGAAAAATGAACGAAACGCTTTGCTCAAGTGCATCAATTGATGGTAACAAGTTGTAATTAAAATATCAACATAATAAACAGAGTTGAGTCAACCATCAAATAATTTAAACATACCGAGACCATAATATGTCATGCAGCACCATATTCCAAACGACCAACTACCTTGTTTTGTTCTTTGAACGATACAATCAAGATTATATTTTTTTGAAGGCTGCCTGGGAATCATAATTTGGTTTTTTTGGTTATCGACCTCAATATTCATCTCATCACTGAACATTACTGTCCTCCATTTTTCTTTAGACCATACTTTGATGCTTTAGCAAAGTATCTTTGCTTTTTCATATGTTTTGTGGTAAGTCGCGGTTTTAAAACAGCTTTTTTCCATAACATATTGTTAGCCATTAATTTCCTACGCACAAATGATGCCAATGCTTGACGTTCATTTGAAAGCTTCCATTCCCTTCTTAATTTATGCAACAGCATGGTTCGATTTTTCTTTGCCAACCTGATTAAAAGGCGATTATCATTTTTGTTCATAACAACTTTATGTAAGCATGCAAAACTTTATGTGAGCATGCAAAACTTTATGTGAGCATGCAAAACTTTATGTGAGCATGCAAAACTTTATGTGAGCATGCAAAACTTTATGTGAGCATGCAAAACTTTATGTGAGCATGCAAAACTTTATTTAAGCATGCAAAACTTTATGTGAGCATGCAAAACTTTATGTGAGCATGCAAAACTTTATGTGAACATGCAAAACTTTATGTGAGCATGCAAAACTTTATGTGAACATGCAAAACTTTATGTGAGCATGCAAATAAATATGAATAAAAAAAAAGAAGAAAGAAATGTTTGGATGAATTGTGAATGACACTTTATTCTAAAAAAGTTGTGATATACTGAAGCAATGCTATATAAACAGAAATACTGGAAGATCATATAGTATATTATTTTTGTTGCACTAAATTATTTAAAGAATAACCCAGTATAGAAATATTATTTATTTTTGTTGCATAATATATTATGAAAATAAATTACAAAAATAATAATCAAATATTGTAGGCTGGTAAAAAACAACAACATGAAAACATCACATATCTCTAAATTTAATAGTTAGCAACACAGCATATTTCAGAAAAAATATTTAAAAAATCATGATTTGAAATCATTATTTAAAAACTGATTAATAAAAGTTCAATTCTTACACTGATTAAAAGTATCAAAAATATTTTTAAAAAAAGAATAGAGAACTTCTTTAGAAAATAGAAAATTCTGAGATACCCTTTGTTTGGGTATCTTAGAATTTGTGTCCCCTTCGTAGCCAAACTATGAATGCATGTTTAAACAACATCTTTGACCTCACACTGAAATAGCCTGCTACCGGGGGTTTCAGTACATACATCAACTATCTTATAGCCTGCTGTCACAAAGTTGTGACACTACAATGACTTAGGGTTTGGCATGGGGCAGCAATTTATTCTTTCATTATTCTTTGCTTTTTTCTTCTCTTTCTGAAAACGTCTTAAGGTATAAAAGTAGGAAAAACTATTGACAGCAGTAATAAAGAAAAACACTTTATTCAAACAACTGTTCAATACCAAACAATATTTTTACAAAGATATGTGGCTATGAAAACAGTTGTTTAACAAAGTGTAGCAAGACATTTTTTAAAATTATATTTGAATTTTATTTAATAAACAATCCACAAGTATTTATAGCGAACTTTTTAAAAACTTGTTTACTATCTATAAATAACTCTGTATGAAAGCTAAGCAAATGCATTTAGACTCCTACTATTTTGCTTTGCAACTTCTTACCATTTTCTTATAACCTTTTAAAAGTCCAATTGTAGAAAAAGTTCACTACCATTTACATAAGGTTAAGGGTCAGGTAGAAGTAATTTTATACAAATTTTATTGTTTTCAAATGCAGGAAAATTTGTTGCTTGAAATATTTCAGTTATGTTAGATAGGTCATTTTTAAAGTTTAACTAGTATGCTTTCAACAGGTCAAACTCACCGAATAAAGTCTTTGATTTGGAAATAACAAATAAGCCTAATAAAGCCTTTGGTAAAGGATTTGATAATTCTTTTATACAAAAGTAACCAAAGAATATAGTATGGTTTTTCTGAATAACATAACAAGAACACTGAATTTTATGCAATCATTTTTGAAGAAACTAAAAGACAGGTGCTTTATAACACTTTAAAGTTGTATCATCAAACTTTGTGTTTATTTCAAAACTCTGATGATCCAGCAAAGGAACAGAGATACTAAATAAAAAATATGAAATGGATTTGGGAAGAGTATTAGTCTCTATTTTGCAATAAATAAAGTTCTAGGCTTTTCTTTGTGACATTTATCTTGGTGCAATTTTTAAGCCTGCTCATAGCATATTTGAAGGTGTTGATCAACAAAATTTCTGAGTGAATCAAAATTAAACTTTTATTCATTAAAAGATATCATAGACTTATAATGTTGTTGACAAAAAAATGAATATAAATAATTTATTCAACTTTAATAGCACGATCTTTATTATATAAAAATAACCAATTAAAGCAATCTTTACATATCAAAAAAGCCTGAACTGGTAAATTACAAAAATTTACCGGTAAAAAATTTGAACCAAATTTATCCATTTACCGGTCGATAGTCGGTATTACATACCCTAGTAGCAATACTCTAAAATACATACACAATATAATTGTTTTTCAGTACATTCAAATGAAAAATAATAGTATTGTGGGGTAATTATAATAATAATAATGGTATTGGGGTGTAAATAACAAGAAAATAAAAACTTAAACTTGATTTAGAATTATATCTTCTTATTTAAAAAAAATCTGTTGCCATGGCTTTTATTAATAAATTTTATGAACTTTTACAAACCAGTTTGATAAGGCAACTTGTCATAGAATTCTGTTGTAGTTGCTTCTAAAAGATTTAGTTTTATTTTAATTTTTTAACTTCAATTTTAAATGTAAAGTTTTTTGCAGCATTAATTCATTGATATTTGTCAAACAGAGGCATAAACTTTTTGAAGCTGTTTCAGTAGGTGTTATATTGGCCTTTCAACAACAAAAAAAAAACTGTTTTAGCAGTAACATCAATGCTTGAACCAGTTAAAAAGTTCAAACCTATTAAAGTTAAAAAAACATTTAAACATATCCAACATTTAATCATTTTTAACATTTAATACGCATTATAGTAAGGGAGTGATTTCAAAATTTAATACACATTAAAAAAAATTATTATATGCTAAACAGTAAAATGACTATAAATAATATAAATAACATACTTAGTGTTGATAGAATCTTCTTTCATTGTAATGTCTTCAACTCTGCATTGATTTTTTTTTAAATTAAGTGTGTAATCAAACTTTCTAAAAATTCAAATATTTAATCATTAAATTCAAAAAATATTTAATTATTATATTCAAAAAATATTTAACCATTATATCCAAAAAATAAACTATACATCAAAAAGAGAAAGCTAGAAAACTAAAATAAAATATAACTTTTAAAACTTGTACATTCTTCATAAACTTTTAAAAAAGTTAAACTATCTAAAAGTTGTACAATATTTTGCAAATACTTGTTGAAAACCAGATTTTAAATAAATATGCAATGATAAAATAATGCAGAAGCTCATAAAGATTTTCTAAATGTAGAAAATAAAATATAGCAAAAAGTGTAAACTTTTATCAAACTAAAAAGGGAAAATATTTTTTTACATAAATTCTCTGTAAATTTTTTGTTTCATATAAACACGAGAACAGGGGCAATTATGTACAAAGTTGGATAGAGTGAGATTTCGCATAATTTAATACATACACCTTGACCAAGTTACAAACCATTCAATAAATGAATCAACAAAAAATTCAACAAGCTCAAGAAGAGGCTTTTATTTATATTAACTAAATTTTTAATATCAGATCCAAAAAGATAAAGAATGATACATTCCAATCTCTAATTCTGATCCCGGATTCCAGGTTAGATTAATTTCAGTACAAAAATTGATTCTAGTTTAAAAAAAGATCAAAAATATCTCAAAACAGTTTTTGAATTAGCATGATCTTTACCAATGTTCAATGGTAAATAACTCAAAAACCAAACTTTGAATTGACAAATGACAAATTTTAACAAGATATGCTAGATCTAACCTATAAAAAAAAAATTAAGGAAAAGCTGAAAAGTCAACAACAGTCAGAGAAAAGTCAACAACAGTCAGAGAATTCAACTTTAAAGTTTAAATAGATAGTATCAACTAAAGTGATGATTCACTACACAGATTTAGAAAAAAAGTATTTGGACCAAAAGTAGAGAGGCCAAGGCCAAGATCAAGTCCTCATGTTACAAGACCAAGACCAAGGCCATGATCAAAAGTTACAAGGCCAAGGCCAAGAGATTGAAGGCCAAGGCCTACGCAAACATTTTTAAGACCAAAGATTTAAATTTTTGCCCTATGTTAAGGCCAATTATTAACAAAACTGTAGGTAACAATCACTGTGATATTAAAACTACATGTTATAAAAATAAACAAAAGTTATGCACAGAATTCAACAGAAGTCAATAAGAAAACATACTTGTAAATATATATGAAAGCCGAAAACAAAAATACATAAAAATAAAGAATGAAAACTTTCAATTCTTTTATATTATGTTCTTTTTTTTGAAGGCCAAGGCAAAACAATCAAAGCCAAGGCCAAAATTTTTAAGGCCAAGACCTTAAATTTTGGCCTTAAGGCAAGGTCGAGGCCAAGGCCAAAGACTAACAACTCTTCCAAAATCACACAACATAAAAATATATTCTAAATTATTAAAACTTTCTTATGACTGCAAATTCTTACCCAAGAGAATTTTCTAAGAGATAATTAGAATTTGAAAGAGAATTTGTCTAAGAGAAATAAACACAATACAGCAATCAACTTAATTCCCATAACAAAGCTAAAAATATATTTATAGCAGTAAAAATTTTTATCTATCAAATTTGCATTTTACAAGTTTTGAAAAAGACATAAAATTTTAAGTTATGCAAACTCAATCCTTTTCATGAAAACTAGTGTTATATTATTATGGTCTACAAAACCCATAATGGGAGATGTGGGCAAGAAAATAGAGCATATTAGACTAAATTTTAAAATACCATAACTTTTCAACTATTTGGGGTAAGGGGCTAAAACTTTGCATCTTTTATGTTTCACTGATAGATAACACTAGCTGATATTTGAGAAAAACCTGAGGGGTATCTAAAAAATTTAAATTTTTTGTCCTACTTTAACATGTAATTATGAACAAAAATATCAGAAAATTTAAAGATGCTCAAACCATTATCTTAATTAAATAATATTTGAAGCAGCACTTAAAACAAAAACTGCTAATACCGCATTTTGAAACCGAAAACAATTTTTAAACCTGGAGTTCTTATGTATAATGTAATGCAGTAAGGACTTCAAGAATTAGGGACTCCAGGCTAAGAAACAACAAGTTGCAAGTCAAAAAATCTTATGAATTTTTATCTTACTGCAGATCATAAGTCACCCAACATTTAGAGCACCTGAACACTAGAGATCAATAATAAAAAAAAAAACAGATCTTAAGCAAGAGTCCTTTAGGATCTTCGCATCTTGAATACTATATAATAAAATAACACTTGATTTTAAATAAAAACATTCAGTGTTTTTATTAAAAAATTTTAAAATAAAAAAACACTCTAAATGTTTTTATTTTTATTTGTTTACTGTTTACAAATGACAAATAAGTAGAACATGTGAGGAGTGCTGCTACATTAACTGACAAATAGGTAAAACAAAAAGGTTACATTTTATGGTAAAAATTAAAGATGACTAAGCAAAATTATATATATATATATATATATATATATATATATATATATATATATATATATATATATATATATATATATATATATAGGTTTCTGCAGGAATGGCGGACTGTAGCCTGCGCCCGCCTCCACACCCATGCAAATCAGTTTACACAGACAAAATAAAGCCAGTGCAAAATATAAATTTTTGGTAAAAATAAAGTTTAATATTTTTAAGTTTTTATTTAGTTTTTTTTTGAAAACTTCTCAAATGATATAATTTTGTAAAACTGTTTGTTTTACTAGTTACAAAACGAAACTATTTCATTCAAGATATGCTTAAAAAAAATTTTAATTTTTTGATGTAAAAATAAAAAATAAAAACCAAACAAGTTATTTCAAACAGCTATAACTGTTCCATATTATTCTGTGTTATGTTAAAAGATAAATGATTAGTATGTTAAAAAGCAGACAAAATATGTATGTGTCTTTTTTATGTCTGTGCCCACTGGGAAGTAGAGCGCACACTAATGGCTTTGAGCAAAAAATAAAAAATACAGTGTAACTTCAAAAAACTATTATCTCAATTTTATAATTATCCTATTACTATTCGAAGTTTACTTACAAAAGTCCTTGGAAGTTTAATTACCAAAGTCTTTAAATTATTTGTCACTCTCCTACTTGTTAATAATTGAAGAATTGTTGATTGTAGAAACTTTTATATACAATGATATTTTTATTCACAAAGAAGAAGAGAAATGGATGAACATAATAAAATAACAAAGAAGAAAAAAAATGAATGAGCATAAATAATTAAGATCATTCGTTTTTATAAAACAACTACTTGATGCATAACAATTTTTTATATATTGTTGTTTTATTAGAAGGATTAATTATATTTTAACTTTTGAATTTTTGAACTTTTTATTGTTTTTTATTTATTATTTAATTAATTACTAAACTATCAAATAAAAATTATATATAAAAAATTATTTAAAAAAAAACGTTAGGTTTTTTTTTTGTTTGCAAATTGTTTTTCTGTCTTATTATTACTAAAAAAACATTTAATATTTCAATTAAAATTTTTACTATACCTGGCATGAAGAATCAACAAATTAAACTTTCAGAATAAAAAATAATTTCTTCAAGACGTAATAATTTTAATTTTTCAAAAAAGCCCATGCAAGACTATTTAGGCAGGCGGCCTGCGTAGCCCGCTTAGACAGGTTGAAACGAGCTTAGCCTGTCTAAACCTGTCTATAAGGGTTTAGACAGGCTAAGCTCGTGCACTCATTTACTCCTGTTGAAGCCTCTATATATATATATATATATATATATATATATATATATATATATATATATATATATATATATATATATATATATATATATATATATATATATATATATATATATATATATATATATATATAGCCTATATATATATAGCCTATATATATATATATATATATATATATATATTATATATATATATATATATATATATATATATATATATATATATATATAGAGAGAGAGAGAGAGAGAGAGACATATATGTCTCTATGTGTATATACACATATTATATACACGTATGTGTGAATATACACCGATAATATAATAGAACTAAATTTGCCAAAAAAAAAAAAAACTCTGACAGGTCTTGTTTAGAAGCGTTAGGAAGCTCGCATTTCTCGTAAGTTAAATGCGTTAAGTAAAAACTTTTTTGTTAAATGTAAATGTCGAAAGCGTTCAGTAAGGTAAAAATTTTTTTTTTTTGGAACATTTAAATTATCTTTTAATATCATTTGTGATGTTTATTCAGATAATATTAGGTTGTAAAAAAAAAAGCATTTTAACCGCAATTGAGAATTTTTTAAAGAAACAAATTTTATCAAAGAAATTTTTTTTCTGGTAAAATACAGTAAAGTAGATTATAAAAATTTTAGAAAGCTCTCTTTGTAAAACACTTTTTTCTGTACTTTGTTGAGTTTTTTTAATTGCTTCAAGTAGCAACTATGATAATTTGTTTATCATAGGTAAAAAAGTTTTGACGAGAAACTAGACGATAATAAGATTTTTCAAGTTTAAATGAATGTCCTCTTGTAATAGAATTTATAATTGTTTTTGGAAAGATCGTTTGACAGTTGTAGCAGTTGTTTAGCCATTTATAAATATTTAATAAATTTCTAAAACATGAATTTAGTTGCTATTCTTCGCAATATTTTCAACGTTTGTCTTTAAGTAGGCAAGGGTTATATACAGATCCACAATATTCTAAAAATGGTCAAACTAGTGAAAATAGACTTTTAAAACAAAATAAATTTAGATAAGAGGATCTTTTTATTAGAAATAGCATTCACATTGCTTTATTAACTTGTGTCAAGGTATGTTTAGAGAATAGTAAGTTATTATCAATATGTACTCCGAGGTCAGTTTCTGAGTTAGTAGATTTGATGTCAATCCTTGTTTTCTTCACTGGATCGTAAATAGAATAAATATTATGTTTGTTTTTGTATCCTAGGTGTAGAACTGAACATTTTTCTACATTAAATTTCA